GCTCAGTTTATATGGATAGTTTTTATTTTTACAACAACAAGCTGCAATGAAAACAAGCAGAAATGAAATAAGAAGTGGAAGTAAAAAGTAGGCTGAAAAATAATTACTCAAGTAAAGTACAGATTCACAAAAATTCTACTTAAATACATAAACAAAGTATTTGTACTTAGTTACTTTAGAACTTTGCATTTACATGATTTGTTCTTCACTCCTGCGTGTTGTGAATAAATCAAACCGGTGCAGAGCTGACTGTCGTCCGGCAGGGGGCGGTGTGGGGACAGGAAGGAAACCGGAAGTGTTGTGTAAACTGAAGATGAAGAAGAGCGAGGCGAACTAAATAAACTCGGAGGCGCTGTGAACCGAGCCGAGCCGAACCGAGTCAGAACAATGGAGGGCTGATAAAAACACCTGAGGACGGGTTGTCAGTAAAACAACAGCCATGTTTGCGGTGATCTGTTTGGGTTTTCTGGTCTCGTGTCTCCGRGGCTCCGCCGGTAAGTCTGGATCGTTTCTGCTAACTGTTAGCATCATGCTAACAGTTAGCATGATGCCTGATACTGAGAATAAATAACATTTATCATAAACATGAAGGCTTTTAACGACTTATTAAGGCTTTTTTAAACTGTTTAAAACCTCAGAGTTGGCGGTAAATGTCCAAATGTTTCTGATCAAATAAATTTATCTTTTATTGCAGAAAGGAAACAGAAAGTATTCAGTCATAACTTCAGAAACAAACAGGTTATAAATAAGCTCTTATTTAAGGTTAAATGTTTGTCTCATGTCCTGAATTAAAATGTTTCTAAAACAGAAATGAAATGTTTTATTTGATCAGGTAAAACTGTATTAATGATTYTGGTGATATTTTTATTATTTAGTTCAAAGTTTAGTTTAAAATAATAAAACATATCATTTCATCCTCAAAATATACATCAAACTTTATTATTTCTTTAAAAAACAACATATATATAATTAAATACAGATCATAAATAAATGAAAGTTAGCAGAAGAAGAAACTGATCGGTTCTGGTCCAAACCTCTTCCCTAAACCAAAACACCAGTCCTGGTCTCGGTTCTGACCAAATGGACCGCCTGTGGTGACCACACGGACAACCCTAACCTCCAGTCAAACAAAGAGGTCAWCCAGAACCAGAACCAGAACCACCAGGTTTACTTTACTCAACTCAAAACAACGTAATAAAAGTTAAAACTATAGTTCAGATTAAATGTCAGAGGAGGAGCAGGTGAGCGGACCAGGAAGTGAAAGAGGAGCAGGTGAGTGGACCAGGAAGTGAAAGAGGAACCAATCAAAGCTAAAACAAACTTCTGTTCCAGTTAACACTCAAACAAACACCCTCAGCTAAATTTAACCCGTCCAGAACCACGGCTTCGTCTGAGAAATGAGGAAACGAGCAGCTGTTTGGGTCACATGACTGACGTCAGTCATGTGACCCAAACAGCTGCTCGTTTCAACAGGTGAGTCAGAACCTCACGTTCCAGTGACAACAGTTACCTGGAAAACTGCAAAAAGCTGCGTTCACATCAGTGTCATGATTCTCATTTACATTCAGAAAGGATTTAAAGGTCCGGACGTCACCACGCTGCTGGTTCTGGACGGTGTGGTGAGCAGGAAGCACCAGAACTGGAGGGAAGCTCCTCTACTGGTCACGTCTTCATGAAGACAAAGATCTCAGCTCGTTTTACTCAATCAGTCAAGTTAGGTTAAAGTGTCACGTCAAATCTCTGTAACACATGAGTGCTTTTTTAGAAAGAGGACGTTGATAAAATATTGCAAAATAAACTTTATGTCACTGAGATGAACGATTATTGAGATGTTTACCTGTGAAGTAACAGGAAGTGATGTCACATGGGAGTGTCTGCATGTAGTACAGTCAGACTTCAAATAATGTTTGAATAAAATAAATAAACCGGAGTTAATTTTCTTAAAGAGTTCCCCTTTGATGTCACTTCCTGTTTCACTTTGTTTGAGCCAAGTTCAAGAGGAAATCAGCCCGTTGTAAAACCATGTGTACAAGTTTATTAAAAATAAAGATGTTTTCTTTGACCTTTTCTATGTAAAGGATATAACTGTCACAGGCACTGTAAGCACTGTAAACACCACAGATGAGCTCACATGATCAGTTTTTAAATTAAAAACTTTATTTTGAATCGAACCGTGAGACAGTAAAAGGTTCCCACCAGAGATGAACTGATACAGATTATTTTGACATCGGTCTAATTTGTGTTCGGCCAATTCTTGAAGCTGATCKTGATTTTTCTTCCTRCATTAACTTGATGAAAYTAAAAATGATAACAAATGTTACACAGGTCTCAGTTTTAACAACAAAAAGAAACATTAGTGTGAAGTGCTGCCACACAGGACTCCTCCTTTCAGACATTTCTTTAAATAAATAAATGATTTATTTTATCTAGTGCTAAATATTCTGTTTTTATTCATAGATTAATCAGATTAATATAATTTGTTACATAAAATAAAATGATTATTTTTGATGTAAAAACAGCAGCATGCCTAAAGAGTACGGCTGTGTATTGGCTAGAATTTGGCGATATGATACGATATATCCTGATATATTGCGATACTGTAAGCAAGGCGATATATTGCAATTTTTTGTCCAAAAATTCTATTAAATAAAAACGTCTTACTGAAAAAAAAAAAGAAAAGCTAATGTTTACTCACAATGCTAATGCTACCCTTACTCTCTGGCMCTCAAGAGGTAGAGGAGCCAAATGTCTGGCTCACTGCTGCCAACTAGTGGTCAGAGGCTGAACTACAACATAAAAATGAACGGCTGGCAGGAAAGTTGACATTTTAAACCTTAATTTAAAAATCAATACAGGGCTTTAGAATATCGATACAGTATCAGGAAATGAAATATCGTGATATTTCAGTGTATTGATATTTTCTTACACCCCTACCGTCCGATACATCGACTGGACGATATCGTCCGGCCGATGTATCGGTCGACCCCTAATTCCCACCCCCGTTAGGTTTCATTGTGGGTTTTGGATCATTTTGTTTGTTTGATTTGTTTCCTGCAGCTGGAGCAGAGCTGGCTCCACCTCAGGACCTGAACATGATCACCTTAAACACCAACTACACCCTGAGCTGGGTCTGGGACCACAGAGGAGCCGACAACGTCACCTTCAGCGTGCAGTACATCTCGTGAGTTCTGACAGGTTTACTTTCATTCATTCTGAGTTAATTTACAAACAGAGRCTACAGCTTCCTGTCAGTGATGGTGATGATGTCTCCTCAGGAGGTACAGGCTGAAGTCGAAGGTTCCCAGGTGGAACGTGGCGTGTGGGGACACGTCTCGCAGGTCCTGTGACCTGACGGGGTTAAACCTGCACTACCTGAGTATCTACATGCTCCGGGTTCGAGCCAGCCTCAACYGACATCACTCTGACTGGACCATGAAGGAGTTCTGCCCCGATAAYGAAGGTAACCAGAACTTTAAAGGTTCTGACCTGAACCTGGTTCCACCTCTTTGAATGAAGAAGAACTSAAACTTAAAGCTCTTCAGGTTTGATGATTTGTAATCAGGTTCTGCTCCTCCAGCTCAGCTCGGACCTCCATCCAAAGTGGACCTTTGTGCTGCTGGTTCTGCTCTGGATGTGTCCCTCACAGACCCTCAGACCAGCTCCAACACCTCCATGAGGGATCACCTGCCCAACTTGTCCTTCTACATTCACTACTGGGAGATGGCCCACGAGAACCAGGTGAGTCCTGAGGTCAGACTGTACCCCCAACAGGTTCTGAGTCCAGTCCTGAGGTCACACTAACTCTTCACAGAAAGCCTAAACATTTCAAAGTTCTGTTCTGGTCCAGTTTCCAGTTTCTGTATCATAAATTCCCCTCYCTGGTCTTTTTGTGTCTCAGTGTCCCGGTGGATCCCCTGTAGAGCTCAGATCAAACCACCCTGGTCTGGGTTCTGCAGAACGTTTGTTGGTTGTTAAATGAAACGCTGCGCAGGTGTTTCCTGCGTCTCGTGAGGAGATGGTAGAAAATTCTGACAGGATTTCCTGCTGAAAACTGCTCTGACTTGGTTGTTTTGTTTTGTTTCTTGTCAGACCACATTTCAGACTTAGTTTCATTGTTCTGAATTAGGTGTGTGTGTGTGTGTGTGTGTGTGTGTCTACTTGTGTACTTGTTGATCAGAACCATGGAAGCTACAGAGACTGGTTCTCATTGGGTTGTCTTGGACCCTGGACTTTGTGTTTCTGGTTCCACATCTCTGATCTTAACATCTGGATGTTGAAACTCACTGCAGAGTGTGGATGGATGCTCTACGGTTGGGCTTTTATAAATAAAGTTAAAGCATGTCTCCTTCATGTTCTTCAGGTCCGGGTGCTAAACAGCACTAACAACATGGTGACTTTGTCAGACCTGAAAGCCTGGACCTGGTACTGTGTAAAAGTCCGTTCACGTTACGACTTCTACGACAAGACGAGTAGCTTCACGTCTCAGCAGTGTGTCCAGACTGAAGGTAAGACACCTGAGGGTAAGAAACAGGTTCAGGAAAGACCCTTAACTCTGGTAGAYCTCTAGAAGAACCCTGGTTGATCCCTGGTAAAGCCTTGGTTGGACCCTGGTTGAGCCTAGATTGAATCCTACTTGAACCCTACTTGAGCACTGAACCATGGTTAAACCCTAATTGAGCCTATTGGACCTTGGTAGAAACCTGGTTGATCCCTGATAGTGCCCTGGTAGGACCCTGGTTAAGCTCTAGTAGAGTCCTGATTAGACCCTGGTAGAACCCTGGCTGGACCTTCGTAGGATGCTGGTAGAGCCCTAGTTAGACCCTGGTTGATCCCTGGTAAAGCCTTGGTTGGACCGTGGTTTATCGCTGGCTGAACCCTGGTTAAACCTTAATTAAACCCTAGTTGAGCACTGAACCATGGTTAAACCCTAATTGAGCCTATGTTGAACCCTGGTTGAGCCTAGATTAAACCCTAGTTGGACCCTGTTTGAACCCCAGTTAGACCCTGGTTGATCCCTGATAAAGCCTTGGTTGGACCGTGGTTTATCGCTGGTTGAACCCTGGTTAAACCTTAATTGAGCCCTGGTTGAACCCTAGTTGAACCCTGGTTAAACGTTAAACCCTAGTTAAACCCTAATTGAGCCTATGTTGAACCCTGGTTGGACCCTGTTTGAACCCCAGTTGGACCCTGGTCAAAGGTGTGGTTCTAGACTTCCTGGCTGCTTGGTGTGTTTTCTTGACCTGACATACTGTTGTTCCCTGACAGGACCCGTGCCCTGGTGGCAGATCTTCCTGTTCTTCCTGGGGTCTCTGCTCGTCTGTTTCTTGGTGTTCCTGATCTTTCTGTATGGCTCCCATCGGTGCTACTGGTTCTGTAAGACCACCTTCTTTCCCCGTGACCAGCTGCCCCAGCGCCTCAAAGAGGTAAGCAGCCGATGACTCTGCGTTTTTAATTCCTAAAACCCAGATGTTCTGGAAGCTGTTCTCTGGTTCCTCCCTGCAGCCGSTCTTTGACTCGCCGGGCTCGGACCACCGGTGCCTCGTCATCTCTGATTCAGAGTCTGAGCAGCTTTGTGAGGGTGTGACCGTCTGCCCGGAGAGCGCTGTCCTGGAAATCCACAGCTCCACGGCGCCCCCAGCAGGCCTGGAGGGAGATGACAGGTTGGTTGAAGCAGAGCCCAGCAGGGCTGCAGAAGATGAAATGTTGAAGCTGTCTTCTCGTTTCCAGCTGCAGACACCTGCGTCAGGACAGCAGCAGCAGCGGCGACTCTGGAGTCTATTCTGCAGGAAGGAACTCGGTGGTCCTGCAGCCCAACAGCTGTCAGTCCGGTCCAGATGTGGAGCTGAGCTGTGAGAGCCGCCGCCTCCCCGAGCAGCTCAAGATGATGGAAACACAGTTCAGCTTTTCTCCGGTGGTCTCAGCCGAGGCCGTCGGGGACGTGAGCGTCTGACGTTTGTCTGTTCCACCTGAGAGACGGACCGGATCAAAGCTGAGGACCTGATCCAGTCTGAGGACTCTGCATCATGTAAAGATCCTCCAACCATGAGGGGCTGAGAGGAGTTTGTGTTTGGCTCTGAACGTGTCCTGCAGCTTCCATGAATTAATCACAGGAAGGTCTGATTGTTGCTGAGCAGCTGGTTAAAACCAGGAATCAGAAAGTTTTTCTCAATAATCAGACAAATCAAGGCTTTGAAGGAGAAGATGTACAGTGTTAGTTCAGGTGGGCTTCTTTCTTCTGCTTTAATCCTTATAATAAACTCCATCAGAGCTTGTTCTTCTGCTGTAAGCATGCTGTCTGATCTGTTTAATAAATATCTGTGACCCATCATGTTCACTGATTCCTGCTTTAAAACCTACATTTAGATKGATCATCCTGAAATCATTACATCCAGAGATTTATTTAATTTGTCTTGTTGGTTACAATAACACAAATATTTGGTCTGAATCCTAATTTTATGTCATTTTAATGAGGATTTTTTGTCATTTGAAAAAAGAAACCTCAAATAGTGTTTGAATATTGAGATTTACCAGCTGGGAAGAAACAAAAGCTTTGATAACTCACAGGGAAAACTCAACATTTGAAGGTGTTTTTCCTTAAAATATATTTTTTTGTTGCTACTG